TTCATATCAGGACTCCCACATATTTGGCCGAGAATCAACTTGTTACCAAGTTGATTGTCGTGTAAGTCAACGGATGGGATTTCTTTGATACTCAAATAATCCTACAATAAGTGCAAGGAGAAAAGGCTTTATGTAGTGATCAAAGGCGGTATTAACAACAGAATTCATTTTATTCTGCAGAAGGGTAGATAGAGATATATACAGGGAGGCAGGTACAGTTGATAAGGAGAATGGTTAGAGATGTTGGTTTATATATGTAATATAGGTAGGGACGAATGAAAGAGAAATACACAGACTCTGCCAATCAAGACTAGAGCACGGGGAGGTCCTACACTACCACTTCAAAACTTTTTCATCTCCACGTGCGGATTATTATTTGCTAACGCAAAAGTTTTGCGTACTTTACCATGGCGAAAAGTTTTGCTATTCCACTCGTGAGAGAATTTTCAGTGTGATCGGTACATTAGGTAATACGTCACGTTTCATTATATAATAATGAAATATGTGTGTCAACAAGTTAATCACTTAAAAAATAAAATTTCTCACCACTTATATAAAAACACATAATGTATCATCCGTATTTCGATCATAATAAAAAATTTCTCCTGAACATGAATGTTAAAACTACGAGCGCCAGGTCTAGCCCAAGCTCAATGCTACCAGGGCAGTTGTCTAGGGCCCAAAGTTGAAGAGGGCACCAAAAAAACAAATCCAAATAATTAGGTATAAAAATATATATATTTGTCCAAAGTCCAAAATAAGAGCTGAAGGGGACCATTCGTCCAGGTTTTGGAGAGATTTTTTAATGTGACCGTCATATGAGGTGGTACACTACGTGTTCCTATATAAATGGTAGGCTATGTGTGTTAAAATGTTAATAACATAAAAATTAAAAATTAAAAATTTTCATCACTTGCATAAAAACACGTGATGTATCATCCGTGTTTCCGTCACAACTAAAAATTTCTTCAGGTTTTGGGAAAAAAAAAACATAAAGGGGACCACTTGTCCCCCAATTAACCCAATTCCATTGGCTGCATCAGTTTTGGCTGCTAGATTTATTGGTTTTATTGCTTTCATTGCAGTTACAAACTGCTCAGTCTCTTGTGAACCTTTTAGTGTTAAAATAGCCATAACTTCTTCTACAAAAATGATATTAACAATCCGTAAAATGCTCAGAAAATAGACATCCGTAGCTTTCCAAGCATATAAGACTCCTTCTCTAATTCATTTTGAGCTGTTCACAAATTGCTTCCAAAATCAGCACAGGCAGTTTTGACGAATTTGTTACTTAAAATCCCACTTGTGCTATTTCTCTTTTCTTTGCTTGACAAATCCTACAAAACACAACAACAAAGTAAATAGCTCAAAAATATAAGGAACTAACTAAGAAAAGAGAAGTGAATTTGATGTAAAATATATATAAATGTAGCTCAAAAATATAAGGAACTAACTAAAAAAAGAGAAGTGAATTTGACGTAAAATATATATAAATGTGAGCTTATCAACGTTCTCTCTTTCTCCCTCCCTCCTTCCTATTTTTCAAAAAAAAAAAATTGTTCATACACACAATGTGTTGGCAAATGCTAGTATTAATTATATACTCTCTCTGTGAACGGTTTAATTCAACTGTGAATCCCAATGTCTAGATAAGAAACAAAATTTACAAATAAATGATGTGTCATCAATATGAATGAGCATATTTATCAACATTTAAATATTAAACCATTCATCAACTTCTATGTCATTTAGTTTTGTAAATTTTGTATCCAAATTTAGTCTTTAGCATTTAATCTCTCTAGCAAGACGAACAACAAAAATCACAAATTACATAACTCCAATTCAGCATTTAACTTTTCACAAATTTAGTCTCTTTAGCATTTAATCTCTCTAGCATTATCCCAAGAGAATGCTAGTCCGACAAGACTCTCATTTGTACAAATAAAAAAGAGTAATGCTAAAGAGACTAAATTTGGTTTTGTAAATCTTGTCTTTCTAACCCATTTCAAATTAAAACATATAAATCCAAATTTAGTCTCTTTAGCATTACTCTTTTATTTATGAGGGCATATAGTTGTCGTTGAAAAAGATCATTGACTAGAAAAAATATTAGATTGTGTGGTATCTACTAGTGTAAATATTTTAAATTGAAGATCAAATTAGTTCATTGTATTCTTAGGGAGAGGAGTGTAGTTGTAAAAAAAAATCAAAATAGAAGCTAAAATAACCGTAAAATCGTGATTTTCCGTTTATAACCGTCAATTTTTTTTCCCTTTACCTAATCTATGAATGTTTGTTTTTTGCGATTTTGCGATTTTTTATGTATACTATCTCGGAGTATATACAAATAAGTTTGACAATTGGATCGTTGAAACTAGTTTTGTAGAATGAGTGTCACATCAAAACGATAGATTCAACATACACTTAGAGTTTATTTTATACTTCCATTAAGTATAACATAAGATTTTGTGGTATCCACTAGCGTAAATATTTTTAATTGAATATCGAATTAGTTCATGGTATCCTTATTAGGTCGAAGAGTATAGTTGTAAAAAAAATATCAAAATCGGAGCTAAAATAACCGTTAAATCATGATTTTTAATTAATCACCGTCAAAAATTTCGTTCCGTTACCTAATCTCTAAATGTTTATTGTTTGCGATTTTTGACGTATGCTACCTCAGAGTATATACAAACAAGTTTGAGGGTTGGACCGCTGAAACTAGTTTCATATAATGCGTATCCTGCCAAAATGATAGATTCAACAAACACTATGAGTTTATTTTATACTTCTATTAAGTATAACATAAGATTTTTTGGTATCCACTAGTGTAAATATTTTAAATGGAAGATCAAATTCATTCATCGTATTCTTATAGGGTTGAGGAGTGTAGCTCCAAAAAGTTATCATAATAGGAGCTAAAATAACCGTTAAATCGTGATTTTTCATTTATAATCGTTTGTCCCGTTACCTAATCTTTTAATGTTCTTTGTTTGCAATTTTTGACGTATGCAATCTTAAAGTATATACAAACAAGTTTGACGGATGGATTGTTGAAACTAGTTTCATAGAATGTGTATCTCATCAAAACGATAGATTCAACAAACATTGAGAATGTATTTTATACTTCCATTAAGTATAACATAAGATTTTATAGTATCCACTTGTGTAAATATTTTAAATTATAGATCAAATTCGTTCATTGTCTTCTTATAGGGTCAAGGAGTGTAATTGTAAAAAATCATCAAAATCGGAACTAAAATAATCATTAAATCATGATTTTTCGTTTATAACAGTCGAAAAGTTTTGTCCCATTACATAATCTATGAATATTTATTTCTTGTGATTTTTGACGTACGTGATATCGTAGTATACACAAACAATTTTGACTATTTGGATCATTGAAATTAGTTTTGTAGAACACATATCGCCTAAAACAATCAATTCAAATGTAATCATACATTTGACCAAAAAAAAAAAGAATCATATATACAATACAATTAAAAAAAATTGGCGGAGGCGGGAGACTAAAATTTTGGTGAGCTGCCAAAATTTTGGCATGGACCTCTAAAAACTCAACTCTCAATTTCCAAAGAGAGCACTCAGCGCCCTTTAGCACTCTCTCGTCCTTTTCACTTCTCTTATGCAGCTTCTCTGCCTTTCCTTTTCATAAACAAAACCCTAGCCTCCAGCCTTCATTTTGTTCATCAAAATCAACACCATCTTCTCCGTTGCTCTCTGGGCTAGTTTGGTATTGCTGTGCTTTGAAAAAAAGCTGTTGTGAGAATAAGCGGCTGTGAAATAAATCAGTAGAGTGTTTGGTAAACTTTTTTGTAAAAATGCTTTTGGAAAAAAAAAAAGTAGTCTGATAGTGGGTCTTTTCATTAAAGGATCACTGTAGCTCTGTGTGCTTTGAAAAAAAGCCAGTTTTCCAAAGCTGCAAATAGCAGCTTTAGCTTTTCCTTTGATTTCAGCTTATTCTCACAGCAGCTTCCAAAATAAGCCTTTTTTTAGTTTACCAAACACCTAAAACCCTCACAGCTTTTTTTCATGGGTGCTTTTTTTTTAAGCACCTCATTACCAAATCACCCTTCTATCTCTGCCTTCATCCAAAAATTTCCACACGCTCCCACCTCTGCAAACCCAAGCCCAGTTCCACCTTTTCGAAATCAAAAGTAAAACCATCTCTGATTGCAAACCCGACGAGTTCCTGGCGAACTCGTCCTCCCTTCTACTCTGCAACAACAAACCCCTAAAAATTCGTTGATCTGAACTTAACTCCATAAGGGAAAACCATGGGCTCCTTTGCTACACACCACAGATGCGCCGAGTTTCGGTCGACTGCGCACCCCAGTCCGCGGCTTCTTCTGTAACTGTGAGAACCTGCTTTTTCTTGTAATTTTTCGTTAAGCGTAGGATGACCACCAAGTGTTTGATGAAATTTCTCAAAGGGTTATGACATTTTGGAACGCGTTTGGAAACTGGGTTATTTGCTACTTTACCTGTAAATCCAAGTTTTTCCTTGAAAATTGTATTTATCAGGAAATTCGATGAGACCACTTGCTTATTTTAGGAAATGGGGCTATTTCTTATGCTATAAGATTTGATTTGAGTGTGATGTTAATCAGCCATTGAAATACCACAAATTTTGGTTGTAATGTTGTTTGTTGTTGGCTCTGCAGGGGATATTTGTTTTAATTTGAAATGGGTTAGAAAGACAAATGTGGTTGTCATCAAGCGAGGGTGGGTGTTAATAGTTTTCTAATCTATTATTTATTAATTAATAGTTTTATAATCTCATTTGCAGGTAGGCCTGTCATTTTTAACCCAACCCGTTAACCCGACCCGTTAAAATTAGTATTCGGGTGGGTGGTTAACGGGTCGGGTAGTTAACGGGTCAACCTGTTAGTCACCCGTTACATAACGGGTCAGTTTGGGTGAACCCGCGAAACCCATTAGCCACCCGTTAAGACCCGTTTGTAAGGATTTTTGTGTAATTTCAATAGTCCTAATTCAAAACCTCAGGACCTCAGCCGTCAGCCCTCACGTTCCTCACCTCTCTCGCTGCCTCACACGCCATTGCTCTCTGAGACTGAGATCGCTGTGCAGCCTGTGCTCCTTCCTTCTAGCTCCGGTTATCTCCCCCATCTTCTTCCCTCAAAAACTTTACTGAACTCCACCACTCTCTCTCTGGTAAGCTGCGATTTCCTTCCACCTCTTCTTTCATTTCGATTACTTTTCGTTTCTGCAGATTAGATTTTTGGTTGTGTTTTGGATAATGGGTTTTGCGTTTTGTTCATGGGTTTTGTACAGAGTATTGATTTAGTGTACAGAGTATTGATTTCTTTGTTCATGGGTTTTGTTCATGCGTTTTGTTCATGGGTTTGAATCTTTGGAATCTGTTTGGACTACTTTTGACTCCTTGGTTTGTCGCTGCACTCTAAAATGGTCATTATCTGTAGGAAGGGCTTTGATAATTTCTTCCATTTACAAATTTTCTATGGCGAGTGCGGATAATCATGGAGGTAGGAACACGGAGCAGGTCTCATGATGATGATATATTTGTTTTCCTTATACATTGGAGTCTCTGTTAAGCTTTCAGGTGTATAAATAGAAGGCAGTTCCTGTATAATTCTTCTCTGGATAATCACTTGTTTCGGCTTAGCCTTTGTATGGGGAATTGAAAGGTATTCACAATATACAATTGTAGTGTTAATACTCAACTCTGGGGTTTTTTAATTTTGAGTGGAGATAGAAAAACCCGCTTGATGGGATATATGGAATATGGATTGTCTGTCTCAAGCTTGTTTTTCGTTCGATCGTTTTGTGCGTTGAGATGTCTCATGGACAATTTACAGTACTATTTCTTGGAGTGAGTTAGTTTAGTTTTCTGTTAAGCAACAGGGCATGGCATGCAATGCAGTTGTTTCAGAAATTTGTAGTCCTACAAGGAGTTCAAGATAGGTTCTTCCGACTTGATCTCTACAATTGGAACATTGGTCCATTGTGTTGTTCTTACTTTCCTGTAATTTTCTTTGACGTCGTAATATGCTGGTGAGGCATGACAGCAGGCAGAGCTGTTGGCATAATACCCCCAATGGAACATAACCTAATAAATTGTGACTACTTGCTTGGAATCTGCCTTTAAAGGTCTGCCTAAATAATTATGATAATTTGGGTATGCATCTTCTTATTTACTAGGTCCAATTTATGAGTTTGAATTTAAGGCACGGTTTGGAAATTTGGAATTAAAAGTTCATAAATTTGAATTTAGTGCTTGTTAGTTATAGAACATTAGTTTGAATGCAATTACCATTTGGTGCTTGTTGGTTCTTTTTTCTGCTATATTTTAGACTTTTAGGAATTTAAGTTCTAAGCATTTTCTCGTTCCTTTTATGTCAACAGATTTAACAAGTGCTTTTGGTGTTGTTTAAACACTTTTTGGAGGATTCCTTTTCGTCTTTGTGTGTATAGAGTTGGTGAATAATGATGCCATTATACGGATACATGGATTCAAACCCCTACCAAAGAAACCAAACTTTCTCTTTCCCTCAGTATCATAATCCTTAGGAACTCATTTGTCATGGTTTTTTAATCCTCAGTAATTACTTAATAAGAAAACACTGAGGCTATTACATTCCTATCCATTTACACAGTATATTTGTTTATGGTTAGTGCAGATGGATATTGATGAAGAGAACATTGAGGCCACGGAAATGTCAACAGTCAATCTAAGTGATACGCAAGGTACAACAAGTGCACCAAGTCCTTCAAAGAGAAAGGCTAAAGGTATGCGAGTAGGTAAGATACGTCAAAAGAGATCCCGTGTTTGGACTTTGTTTGAAGAATTGCCTGTTGGTCCTGATGATAAACAACATGCGAAGTGTAAAAACTGTGGGATAGTTTACGTATGTGATAGTAATTGTGGGACGAAAAACCTATTGAATCATATGGATACATGTAATAAAAAACATCACATTGATATGAAGAAATCTCAAGTTGGATTGCGTTCTCCTCAGTTTAACCATGTTAGTTTTTGTGAGCTATTGATTGAGGCTATAGTTAAGCATGATTTGCCTTTTAGGTTTGTTGAATATGAGGGCATTAGAACTTTGTTTAAATACATATCTCCTGATATCAAACTGCCGTGTAGAAATACAGTTAAGAAACATGTGTTGAGGATGTTTGAAGATGAAAAGATAAGACTTCGAGATTGGTTAAATACAGTTGATGGAAGAATTTGTTTGACATCTGACCTATGGTCTTCTGCTACAACTGATGGATATCTCACACTCACAGCTCACTTTGTTGACAAAGAATGGAAAATGCATAAAAGAATTTTAAATTTTTGTCATATGCCTCCTCCACATACGGGGGTTGCTTTGTCTGAAAAAATTAATGCCTTATTAGTTGAGTGGGGGATTGAAAAGAAACTGTTTTCCATTACTTTGGATAATGCCTCTGCAAATGATTGTTCTGTTGAGCTATTGAAGAAGCAATTAAATTTTAGAGGCTTGTTATTAATGGATGGAAAGTTCTTTCATGTTCGTTGCTGTGCTCACATTCTAAACTTGATAGTCCAAGATGGACTAAAGGAAATTGATGGATCAGTGACTAAAGTTCGTGAGTGCATCAAATATATAAAGTGTTCAGAAGGGAGAAAAATTAAGTTTTTTGCTTGCGTTGCACAAGTAGGGTTGGCAGGTAGTAAAAGAGGGTTGAGACAAGATGTGCCTACTAGATGGAATTCAACATATACAATGCTTGATAGTGCTATTTTCTATCGTCCTGCTTTTCTCAATTTGGCACTTGTTGATTCTAATTTTAGTTCATGTCCTTCCTTGGAAGAGTGGGATAAAATAGAGAAGATTTCCAATTTCTTGGGGTATTTTTATGAAGTTACTTGCTTATTTTCCGGAACAAATTACCCTACATAAAACTTGTTCTTCCCGAAAGTGTTCAAAGTTCATTATTGTATTAAAGATGCTATGGAAGATTGTGATGATTTCATGAGACGGATGGGGAGTTATATGAATTTGAAGTTTGAAAAGTATTGGTCAGAGTATAGTTTGATCCTTGCCATTGCGGTGATTATTGATCCTCGCTATAAATTGCAATTTGTAGAGTGGGGTTATGACAAACTCTATGGTAAGGAGTCAAGAGAGTTGAAGGATGTTAGTGGCACATTGTTTGCACTCTTTGGTAGTTACATGGATAAGTTCTCTCATCTTCTTGTATCCAACCCAGTTAATCAAACTCCTACTGAAATAAAAGTTGGAGACAAACTTTTTGAGGTAGTATTTATATTTGTTATTCCTCTGTTTATACTTTTTATATGCATCTTTATATTGTACATTGATCCTTGTTTCTATTTTGTTTTTATATGTAGGAATTTGATAATATTTATCAAGATGGGTCAACTTTAGTTGAAAAAACTGAATTAAATTTATATCTTGAAGAAAAGAGACTCGATAGAAAACAAGAGTTGGATATTCTTTCATGGTGGAAACTGGAGCAATTTCGTTATCCCGTACTTTCTCGTATGGCTTCTGATGTGTTAACAATTCCTATCTCAACCGTTGCCTCAGAATCAGCATTTAGTATTAGTGGTAGGGTGCTTGATCAATATCGAAGTTCTTTGTTGCCTGAAACTGTTCAAGCCTTGCTATGTACTAGAGATTGGCTTTTTGGCAAAGAAGGTAAATTTCATATTTCTTTGTATTTTTTTTGCTTATATAATAGGTTATAATTGTTTTTCCTTTTTTCTTTTTTCTTTTTATGTTTAGCTTTAGCGAAAGAAGGTGCTGACTTGGAAGAACTTACTGAAGAAATTTTTGACATGAGCCTTAATGAAAACTCGGGACAATGTTCCAGCAAATTGCAGGTAATGATAACAAGAGGCAAAGACAAGGGTGAGTGTCATCAAGCGAGTCATTCCCTCTCAGAAGCACGCCATCGTGGAAGGCAACAATCTGGTATTAGTCCAGCCCTATTATTTGTAATTTGGTATATTGTTCTCGTTTAACTAATTTTGTCTTGCAATCCTTTAAGCAACTTTATATACAGTTTCATTCAATATTATAGCATCTTTCTTCATGAGAGAACTTCTTACAAATCCATTCTGTTGTGGTCACTCCAATCCGGTTGAGATTGTAGATGATCTCTATGATTATCTCAACAAAAATGTTCGATCATGTTGTGAACACGGAAAATTCCTGAAAACGAAAGAGACAAGAACAACGTGCACAAACAAATATTTGTATTTGATGATTTTGGGTTACAATCTCTCTCTATTTTGATCCTCTGATTCGATCTCCGTAAGGTGTTGATTTGTGGACGTTTCGTTGATCCAAGGGCCGTCGATGCTTGATTTTGGATGAACTGTTGGAAGTTTCTTCAAGGGTCGTAGGCTTGATCTTTGAAGGTGGATTTGAGCGAATCTTCAAGGAGCCGTTGGGGCTTGATCTTGAGGATGAGTGTTTCTTCAAGGGTCATTGAGGCTTGATCTTGAATAACGGTGATGAGCGGATCTTCAAGGGCTTTTGGGCTTAATCTTGAAGAACAATGATGAACGGATCTTCAAGGGCTTTTGGGCTTGATCTTGAAGAACGGTGGCTTGTTGATCCAAGGGCCATCGAGGCTTGATTTTGGAAGAACGATGAACGAAGAACGAAGAACACTTTCTTCAAGGGCCGTCGGGGCTTGATCTTGAATTGGTGGATAATTGTTGATCCAAAGGGCTGTTGGGGCTTAATCTTGGAAGAACGAAGAACGAATAACATTTTCTTCGATGGCCGTCGGGGCTTGATCTTGAATTGGTGGATGATTGTTGATCCAAGGGCCGTCGGGGCTTGATCTTGGAAGAACGGTGGATGAAGAACGAAGAACACTTTCTTCAAGGGCCGTCGGGGCTTGATCTTGAAGGAGGATTTGATGGAGAACGAAAAGGGTTTTCTTGATCCTTCGGGATTTGCTTGAGAGCTTCGGAGTTTCAAAGCTTTAGAGCTTCAAGGTGTAATATGAATTCCTCCCCTCAAATGAATGAATTAGCCTTCTATTTATAGAATTTTCCAAGGCCTAATTTTGAATATAATATTCCAGATGAAATAAGTCGTTTCTGCCAGGTGTTGACACATGTCCTGTTTGATGACTTTTCTAACTTATTTCGATTTTTTTGTTTAGACACACGCTACGTGTAAAATTTATGTAACACATGAGCGTTGAAACTTTGATTTATCGATCAACATTTATTTACCGAAATTTCGATGTCTACAAATGCCCCCACTTCAAGGCGCGTCGTATACATGTGCTTGTCACGTGTAGGAGATGCGTTTTGAAGTCCCTTATTGTAGATGTCGATCCAAGGGCCATTCGAGGCTTGATCTTGAATTGGGCTGAAAATTCTTCAAGGGCCGTTGAGGCTTGATCTTGAATTGGGCTTGAGATTTCTTCAAGGGCCGTTTGAGGCTTGTTCTTGAATTTTTTTTGTTTGAAATTTCTTCAAGGGCCGTTGAGGCTTGATCTTGAAGGTTGAAATTGGACCACAAGGAGCTTCATGTGGTAGATGATCATTGGCTTTGGTAGTGGATGAATCGGCACGTATTTTGTTGCACTTGTTGACTTTCCACAGCTTATTCTTGAACTGGTTTTGATTCAAGGGTGATAGACACTTGATCTTGAATCGAACTTGTGATTTACTCAAGGGCCGTCGAGGCTTGATCTTGAATTTGGTTGGAAGTTCTTCAAGGGCCTTTGAGGCTTGATCTCGATGGTTGATTCGAACACATGGCAAGCAGGCATGAGGTAAAGGTGACAACCTGTTTCTTTGTTCAATCTTTCTAATTCACACCTGAGCAGTTTGGTCAATGGTATGATCTTCAAGATTGATGGGCTATTCTTCCAGTTGGTGACTTGATCTTTAAGGATTCGATTCAAGGGTGGTGAATCGGCACGTGCAACTTACAACGCCTAGTAAGCCGACCCAAGAATTTGAGGGTCAAAACGAATTCACCGTCCAGAATGATTGCAACCCTGATGATATGAGATACTTTTGATTTTGAAGAAGTAGCGGATGACTCAGCGCGTGCTTTGTTACACTTGTCTCCACATGCTTCAAGGTATCATTTTCATTTCCTTTATCGGTTCCTCAGGCAGATGTGGCATCTTCTCGAGTTCTTCATCTCAGACTCTTTCTGCTGAGTTGACTGTGCATGCTGCATTCTTCTCTACTTGTTTCTTCAGGCAGGTGTGGCAGCTTCTCGAGTTCCTCAGTTCAGACTCCTTCTGCTGAGTTTGACTGTGCAGACCGCATTCTTCTCTGCTTGTTCCTTCTGCACGTTGTCTCCACATGCTGCAAGGTATTATTTTCACTTGCCTAATCTGTTTTTTAGGCAAATGTGGTAGCTTCTTTGGAAGTACAGCAGCAGTGGGAGACGAATACTCGAGAGCAGTGCTAGGTAGGCAATCAGGGAAGGGTTCAAAGCAGTCGGTTTCTTACCCGAGTTTGAGTGGAAGTTCCGGCATATTGTTTTCTTTATCCTTGTCTTTGTAGGTAGGAACAAGGACAAAGGAAATGACAGGGAGAACGCATGATATGAGATACTCTTGCTTTCTACCCTGGTGATATGAGATACTTTTGCTTTGGAGTCATTGGCTTGCAGAGGTACCCCAAGGAATAAAGAACACTGAATGACTCGAGAGGTTTTGTTGGGAAAACATTTTTTTTTTTTTGAGATGAAGAAAGGTTCTGTATGTCTGCCTTGCTATGAAGGGTGAAGGTGGACATTTATATGGATTAATAACTGATACTGTTCTTTCACTCTTGTCGGCAACCGTTGGATGATTAAACAGTAAACTTCACGTGCTTTCTCCTTCACCGAAAATCTTCGATAAATTGCCCGTGATTTGCGCAAAGTTGAGTGTGCATATGACAGGTGTTGACGAGGCTGAAAAAGACTGGCGCCTCTTCGATATCTTGGATCGGCGCTTCGACAAATTGCTCGTGATTTCCGTAAAGCTGAGTTTACGTGTGACGGGTGCCGACGCGTCTGGAAAAGCAAGATGCTTCTCTGATTTCTGAGCTTGCCTCTTCGATTTTTGAATGGCCTCTTCAAATTCTGAGCTCGCCTCTTCGATCTCTGAAATCCCGTCGAGTGCTGATTTTTTATAGAGGCATGCAGTTCGTTTCAAAGCACACTTGAATTTTCGCTTCTGAAAACTCCCTTCTTGCACTTCTAAGATCTTGATTTGTCCGATCTCTTCTTCCTTCAACACTTTTGAAAATGTCTGGACCCTCCGACCGTCGTTTTGACTTGAATCTTGGTGAAGAGGCAGTCATGCCTTCTCCAGACAACATATGGTGCCCATCCTTCATATCCCCTACTGGTCCTCTTACCGTTGGGGATTCGGTGGTGAAGAATGATATGACCGCTGCGGTGGTGGCCCACCCTTATCACTCCCAGAGATAACAGACTACTTTCCAAACGGTCTGATGAGTTGGTTGTTAAAGATTCTCTGGCTTTCAGTGTGCAGTGTGCAGGTTCTGTGTCTAATATGGCCCAACGCCTATTTGCTCGAACCCGTCAAGTTGAATCATTGGCGGCGGAAGTAATGAGCCTCAAACAGGAGATTAGAGGGCTCAAGCAGGAGAATAAACTGTTGCATAAGCTCGCACATAGCTATGCGACAAACATGAAGAGGAAGATTAACCAGATGCAGGAATCTAATGGTCAGATTTTACTTGATCATCAGAGGTTTGTGGGTTTGTTCCAGCAGCATTTGCCTTCGTCTTCTGGGGCTGCACCGCGTAATGAAGCCTCTAATGATCAACCTTCGGTGCCTCCTCCTCCTGGTGTTTCGCCAAGTGGTGTGGCTTCAAACAGTTAACCTCCAGCGCCTCTTATTTCTGGAGCTCTGCCAAGTGGTGAGGCGGCACCTGATCGTCCTTGAAGATCCCCTCTTGTAAATTTGATTTGATTTGATTTTTTTTTTTAATTTATGTATAATGCAAATTTATGTAAAATATCCAGAAAAATAAATAAAATGGACCTTCTATTTCTCTCTATGCATTTGTTTTTATTTTTTTTTAAATTTATTTTTATTATTATTATTATTATTATTATTATTTATTAATTTTTTTTTCTTTTTCTTTTGGTGCTGGATGCACCAAGTTCCATCATCATTTTTTTACAATTTTTTTTTCTTTCTGCACATAGTGCCCATGCACTACCAGAAACTTTTGATCTGCCATGGGGCTGTTCCCCATCTTTGATCCACCATCCCATTTTCTATTATTATTATTTTTTTTTATAAATTTCGATGATGGGCTGGGGAATTTACAGGGAAGGATGAAGGCGGACGGAGATGGTGCTTCGAGCTTCACGACCAGCTAGTCGTGTGACGAGCTTGATGAAGCAAGAGATGGAGCACGGCAAGGACAACCTCGGTGATCTATGCCGCAAAAGTGAGTCTTCCTCGGTGGCCGTTCCCCGATCATGGCTTTTCCCCACAATGCCACTGCAGTTCAGCTGATCTCAGCACCTTGAACCCTGATCCCGAACCATTTCCTCTAAAGGCTTTACGGAGCTTTGTCCGAGAGAAGACGATAGTAGGCTGAGGTAAGAGGAGGGCGAGGTGGCGTGCGCCGTTGGCTGTGCACTGCCCGCTGCTACTTACTACGCTTGCTGCCATGGCTGTGTTCTGCAAGGCTTAGGCTGAAGTGAACCAGCAGAGGAGAAGAACGACTTCGAAGCGGACAGTCGCCGTCGTTTGTAGTAGTGGATATCGAAGACGCTTGTAGAGGAGGAAGAAAGTTGCTGCAAGGCGTTGAGTTGCTGCAGCTGTCGTTCTCACAGCGGAGAAGAAGAAGGTGGGCAGGATGATGATAAGCTTGTTGGCGGAGTAGGGGTCGGAGGAGAGGCAGTTATGCTTCCATATCCAGAACCTCAACATTATTTGTGATGGCTACAACTCTGTACTCTCTGTCTATGGGAGATGGCGGAGAGCAACCATGGGTGCAGAGACAGGCGCTGGGTCAACTCGGGTGCTAAAAACTCGACCATGATGAATCTGTTCTTCTCCACCGCATTGCTGAAGTTTACCGCATTCAAAACGACGTCGTCCTTCTTGTCCAGCTCTGGCTTTTTGTTTGAGTTGTTATGATCGCCAGCCTCGTTGAAGTAGTTTTTTTTTTTTTATGGCAAAGATTACTAGATTAGAATAATCATCGCTCCATTTCCCAGTTACTAACACAAGTGACTTTTTTTCATCCACGCTCATACCCATGAATCAAAAGAGTTCAAAGACATTACAAAAATTTACACAATTCGATTGGTAAAGGTGACAAGGATACCGAACATTAACCGCGACAATCTACGACACCCTAGTGCTGCGGTGGAGGCTCGTTGCAGTGCTTCTTGAAGTTCACAGCCTCGTCCGTCAAATATTCACAAATTCGCTCGACCATATGAGGTACTTCCCATCTAGGGCTCCAAGGAAATTCAGTTAGAGGAAGTGACTTGATTGGCACACCTTGGAGGTTGAAATGATGTGAACTTTGAAGCATCAAAGCCGGCTTTTGCTTTGGAAACTGAGTTGAAATCGAAACATGAACCAGAAAAGTGAAAACTCCAGAAGCAGTAAGGAATGTTGCCTTTCTGCATAAGACCGAATCAGCTTCCACTGGTCTTCCAAACTGCAGAGCTAATGCCTCGATAAAGCGCCTCCTAACATCAACCAAGGAGACTGCCTCCAAAACTTGCTTCTCAAGAGATTCTTCAAGATGCGGAAGGTATTCAGCCATGCACATCCCATTCAACCACGGACGAAGTTTGACTTCATCAATGGAAAATAGAGTCTTCAACTCTGAGGTAGACACTAGTTTCAATCGAGGTGTTGAAGGAGTGGAAACATATTTTTTCTCAACAGGATATATAACCTGCAAGTATATCTTTTGTTGATGTCTCCAGGGGTATGCAGGCACCATCTTATTTATATTCATGTCTAATAGAGGAACTGCAAATTTGACCTCTTCTGGCTTGTCAACTCTGGAACTCATCTGCATCTCAATGCCCTCACGAGCAACAATTGTGCTAATTTCAAACTTCAACCTGTCATCATCTTCTGCAATGCGCTTCTTCTGGTAGGACATGTACTGATCCCTTAGTTCTTGAATGAGAAGCATTAGCTGTGTAGGGTCTCTACTATTCCAATCACTCAAACACTTCATGTGAAATTTTGAGTCCCCTTCTCCCTCATCGGGCGATACAAGAAACTGCTGAAATCTCTCATCATCAGGTCTGAAATAACATCCGGTGCAGAGAATGGAGACTCCGAATCAAATATAACATCCCACTTGATAACGTCTAGACAGTAGGAAATGACTAAGGTGAACCGGTCGAGAAATTCGGGGTAGTACTTGCTGCCAGACCACTTGTTCTCACTCTTGACGACGAGAGGGAAGTGAGTGAGGAGGTAGTTGAGCTAGGCCCATTGAGATAGAGCGAAACTTGTTGTCGACCACTCAATAAAGGCTGTTTACATATTATATACATATACATACATATATATATATATATGTATCTTTTTTTTTTTTTTATACAAAGAATATTTGTAATAAGATTGACTCTTAATAGTCAAACATTTAATAAAACCTCTCTTTTTTTAATTTTTTTTATTTTGATGTGACTGAACTCGAAGTTGAATGTTCAAGCTGCCTATGTACCCTTCCAAAGAAAAATATCAAGTCAAAACGTAGTTCGAATACATACATTTTTTTTTTTTTGGTATTTTCTTTTTGTGCCGTTTGCAGTTTTAACTCATGCAGGTAAGGAGTATTGGTGTCGTTTGCAGTTTCAACTCGTGTAGACAATGAGCATTTGGTGCCGTGTTGCAGTTTCAGCTCGTGCAGGCAATGAGCGTTTGGTGTTGCCTTTTATGCTCGTGCAGACCAGGAACGTTGTGCCATGCAGTTTAGGCTCATGCAGGCGATGAGCCTCGTGTCCTACAGTTTAGGCTTGTGTGGACAAGGAGCTTTGGTTCGTGCAGTTTAGGCTCGTGCGAACAAGGAGCAATGGTTCGTGCAGTTTAGGCTCGTGCGAACAAGGAGCATTGGTGTTGCCTTTTATGCTCGTGCAGACCAGGAGCTTTGGTGTTGCCTTTTATGCTCGTGCAGACCATGAGCTTTGTGCCATGCAGTTTAGACTCATGCGGGCGAGGAGAATTTGTGAATTTTGTCAAGCAATTTTGGAGAGGCGTTCCTCACAATCTTCATAGCAATGAGCCTTGACCGAGTGATTGAAGAAGTCTTCGGGAAAGAAATCGCGCATTGTGATGGCAACAGACGATCTTTGTGTCGTAATTTCATCATCCTCAACACTTTCACATTGCTTTGAAGGTTGACAAGAGCTGTTTTGCCCCCTTTCCGATTGGCGGACTTGTGGAGGAGACGTATGTTTTTTGTGCAATTTTTTAGGAGTGACTTGTGTCCATCCTTTAACTTTGCTTGTCTTGGAGGATGCCCCTAGCGGTTGAGGTAAAAACCTTGAGTTGGAAGAGCCAAAAGTGATGGTGGTATAGTTTGACTTCACAACATCGTCAAGATCTAGCTCGATGATTCCTTTCTGAGCCAGCTTCATGATGAGATCTTTCAGCACGAAGCACTTTTCTGTCGGATGACTGATGAAGCGGTGGAATTTACAGTACCTTGGATTGTCGGTGCGATTCATCTCTTCTGGCCGTCTGCACTCAAGCAAGCCGATCACCTTCTTTTCCAGCAAGTCTTCTAACATGGCAACCACATTAGAGTCGGGGAATGGATAAGTTTTCTCCTCAAGCTCCTTCAAAGTACGTCTACGCATCTCTTGATCACGAAAGGCTTCGGCTTGAATCGCCTTGCCTCGTATAGGGATTTTGACGAGAGATGTGTTGACTGTCATCGTTTCCTTGATGGGTTTCCATGCAGTCTTCTCCACCTTTGTCTCAAGAACTTTGTCGTTCTTGTAGTCGGCGATCAGTTCCTTCTTCCCATGATGGGCGATGCTTAACTCCATGTCATGGGCGCGAGTGGCCAATTCCTCGAAGGTCCGTGGTTTAATGCCTTGAATGATGTATTGCAAACCCCATTGCATGCCTTGGATGCACATCTCGATTGAAGAGGTTTCTGAAAGCCTATCTTTACAGTCGAGGCTTAGAGTGCGCCATCTGTTGATGTAGTCAATGACTGGCTCGTCATTCCACTGCTTTGTGCTCGTTAGCTCTAGCATGCTCACAGTGCGGCGGGTGCTGTAGAAGCGGTTGAGGAATTCCCTTTCCAATTGTTCCTAGCTGTTAATGAACTCAGGCTCTAGGTCTGTGTACCACTCAAAGGCGTTTCCTTTCAGCGAGCACACAAACTGCTTGGCGAGGTAGTTTCCATCCGTCCCCGCGTTGTTGCAAGTTTCGACAAAATGTGCAACGTGCTGCTTTGGATTTCCTTTTCCATCAAACTGCAAGAACTTTGGTGGTTAATATCTCATCGGCATCTTTAGGGCATCAATCTTCTTTGAATAAGGTTTTGAGTACAACCCGGAGGTATTTGAGCTCCCTTCGTACTGTGCCTTGATGGTGTTGGTGATCATCTCTTGGAGCTGCTGGATAGAAAGAGATCCCATGAGTGCCGCTGCTTGGTCTGGCTCCGGCTTCGCATCGATTATCTCCACCGTAGGCTCATCTTCTAGGTTAGGGTTCTCGCCGTCCTGTGGCTCCAGTCGGCTGACGAGTGCAGCGATTTGCAAGTCTTTTTCTTCCACAGTTCGGGTTAGCCTTACAATTGCTTCATTCATTTGAGCCAGCTGCTTATCGATTGAAGTTGCTCCAATGGTCATGACTTGCATGGCTGAACTGCCGCTCGAATCGGCATCGGAGAGCATGGATTCAGAGTATTTCCTTAGACTTTCGCCCCTTGGTGCCCTTGGTGAGGCTAAGGTGATCAAAGGCTCGTGCCTTAGGTGCTCTTGTTCCCTTGGCAGAGTTGATGCAGAGGTGAAAGAGGCGGCAGAAGTAGCTATTGCCTTGCTTCGAGTCGTGATGCCTAAAGTGACACCACTTGCGACGATGACGCTCTTGTTCTTTGCGCCAGTTGCGGGAACAGTTTGAGCCTTCTTTGATGCCATTAATTTTGGAAGTGTGCTCGAATTTCTTGAACGGAGAAAGAGATGAGAGGTAGAGATTGTCCCACTGGGCGTGCCAATTTGTGAACACGAAAAATTCCTGAAAACGAAAGAGACAAGAACAACGTGCATAAACAAATATTTGTATTTAATGATTTTGGGTTACAATCTCTCTCTATTTTGATCCTCTGATTCGATCTCCGTAAGGTGTTGATTTGTGGACGTTTCGTTGATCTAAGGGCCGTCGAGGCTTGATTTTGGATGAACTGTTGGAAGTTTCTTCAAGGGCCGTGGGCTTGATCTTTAAAGGTGGATTTGAACGAATCTTCAAGGAGCCGTTGGGGCTTGATCTTGAGGATGAGTGTTTCTTCAATGGCCGTTGAGGCTTGATCTTGAATAACGGTGATGAGCGGATCTTCAAGGGCTTTTGGGCTTAATCTTGAAGAACAGTGATGAACGGATCTTCAAGGGTTTTTGGGCTTGATCTTGAAGAACGGTGGCTTGTTGATCCAAGGGCCGTCGAGGCTTGATTTTGGAAGAACGATGAACGAAGAACGAAGAACACTTTCTTCAAGGGCCGTCGGGGCTTAATCTTGAATTGGTGGATAATTGTTGATCCAAAGGGTCGTTGGGGCTTGATCTTGGAAGAACGATGAATGAAGAACGAAGAACGAAGAACACTTTCTTCGAGGGCCGTCGGGGCTTGATCTTGAATTGGTGGATGATTGTTGATCCAAGGGTCGTCGGGGCTTGATCTTGGAAGAACGGTGGATGAAGAACGAAGAACAAAGAACACTTTCTTCAAGGGCCGTCGGGGCTTGATCTTGAAGGAGGATTTGATGGAGAACGAAAAGGGCTTTCTTGATCCTTCGGGATTTGCTTGAGAGCTTCGGAGTTTCAGAGCTTCAGAGCTTCAAGGTGTAATATGAATTCCTCCCCTCAAATGAATGAATTAGCCTTCTATTTATAGAATTTTCCAAGGCCTAATTTTGAATATAATATTCCAGATGAAATAAGTCATTTCTGCCAGGTGTTGACACATGTCCTGTTTGATGACTTTTCTAACTTATTTCAATTTTTTTGTTTAGACACACGCTACGTGTAAAATTTATGTAACACATGAGCGTTGAAACTTTGATTTATCGGTCAACATTTATTTACCGAAATTTCGATGTCTACACATGTTTTTGGGCTTATGCTTTTTTCTCACGACTACCATTGAGCAATTGGAATTGGCCAGTGTAATGTGGTTGATAGTCTGTAGACAGTATGCTTATTTATTAAAAGTATCTTTAATGCTTGGAAGCTCTTCTAATGGTCATATTATTATTCAAGTTCCCTATCTTGTGTAATGCATATTGGATGAGTTCTATTGTGTTGAAAAAAGTAATTACGTTTGAAGGATACCATTCAGACGCGAATGTAGTATATAATGTTCAAGGCTTTTTGCTATTCGATCCTTAATAGTCTCAAATCTAATTTCTTTCAATGCTCAAAGCTTTTGGTCATTCGGTTCCAATTAATTACATGGATTTGGTTGCTGCTAAACATTTACTCTGTCATTGCAGGTAAAGAAACATATCAAGCACGGCCAAGGTCATGAAGGTGGGATTTTCATTGTTGAAGCGCTTCTACATTCGAACTCCTCAATGGTTGCATGGAAAACTAGCGTTACAAGACGTATCATAGGATTGTAACAAGTACTTTAAATTTTTTACATTGATTTTTGGTATATGTAGTTGAATATATGGTTTCATTAATATAAAACAATTCATTCAATAAAAATTTCCATTGAAAATATTATTGAACTTATAAAAAAAAAATTGTATTTGTATCCTTTTGTTTTTTACCGACAAAATAGGATAATCGCCCATATATAATTCCAACGCCTCTTGACCCTCATAAATATGTTTTTATGCATATTTTTGACAATTCTTAATTGTTAGTAATGGTAATTGCGACGATTATATACTCTTGCAAATAACATTTTACTATTGGAAAAACATTTTTTGACACAATGTTTTGGTCATAAAAAAATCATCGGAAAAAAGAGATGTCGTCGTTTAGAAAGTATATTCAACGGGCATATAAGTATTTGCGACCACATTGACATGTCGAAAATAAAATAATTTTGCCATTTGGAAAATTCATTTCTGACGGAAAGATAACTAGTAACGACGAGCCTCATGCCTTGGAAATAAAGCATTTTCGACGGCTGGTCAAGAAAAAAGTATTTCCAATGGAGCAATTTCCGACGCCCAGCGAGTGCTTTTTCCTGTCGGAAATAAGTATTTGCGACGGCAAATTACCTTTTCCGACAGCATTTGACCCTTG